GAGTATGATGCCAGCGAGAAGTTTAGAGACGATGTTGATTAAACTAATTCCTCCATGATTTTCAGGAGAGAATCTATCACCTTTCTTGTAAATCGGTATGATCACCGACTCACACCATTCAGCTGGAACCTCCTCTCTTTCCCATATTGAGCCCAGGAGTTTTGTCAACTCCACGACTAACGCTGAGCCTCCATCCTTAAACGCTGATTGGAACAGCCCATCTGGGCCAGAGGCCAGAGTGGCATAGACCATATTGACGTCCTCAACCAAAATTTCTTTCTTGATTCGCCGTGATCAGGCGAATGCTATTCACATGTGTGTGCAAGAGAGTTCCCGCCATAACCGTATTCCTTCAGTTTTTCAGGCTCTTTTTGTACTGAAGCAGGTACAATCAGCGTAGTGACGTGAGATCCTACATTTAAGCCCAATTTGAAGAAAAGGTAAAGTATTCCATGTGGTGTGAAAATCCTGTCTCTGTCGTACCGGAATCCCCTTTGATTGAACTGAGTCTGCATCTTTCATGCCCGTCACTCAGGCTGATTCCTCTATGGTTGTTAGTAACAAATTAGTGCATTGCCTTGCTGTGTGATTGGGTATAAGATCGACGTCCAGAAATGCAGTAGGAAAACCTCATCTTTCCAAATGGAACAGATGTTATATGCAATGGGTTTATCACTGTTGGAAGATGACCTTTGTCGAACTGTCGTAGTATTCTGTCTTCTCATGCAGCCCCATTATTCTTCAGTTTCTTCATGAGTTCTCAAATCTCAACTTGACCTTGTGGTTCTCGATAAATATCAGTAACAGTATGCCATCTGTGTCTCCCTTGGTTGCTGTCAGGCCACTCTGAAATGACGATCACTGAAGACGACACCTGAACAAACATGAATTGGCAATTTGGTTCAGCCATGGCATGAGCTGGTTGGCGCAGTGGTAACGCACACGCCTTCCATGCGATAGGTCAGGAGTTCAAATCCCGGACAGGACGGTGGATATGCACTACTGATGAGCTCTAATAAGAGCGAAACTCGAGTCTAGTGCTTCTGAGTGTATGATTGAATCGATGAACTGAAGATTGTGCGTGAAGGTTAAGTCCGAAGGATAATCAACTCAAATTATTAAAATATCATAGCGTTTAGGAGAAGCCGGTGATTTCGGAATAGTTAAGTGGTCTGTTCAACAGATCGGAATTTTCAACCCACCTGTTATGTTTGAACTTTACAATTTTCACTGTTCTACATTATCCACGGATTTCATTCCTGACATCTTTTCTGTTTTTTTTCCAGCCAATGCTCAGTTGTCTAACAAACAACAACAGATTATTCTGGCTTCTGATATACATGCGTTTTTATGTCTGTTTGTGTGAGTGCATTACAGGTTATGAAAACATTGTATCATTGTATCTGGTGGTTTGAAAAGAATTTCCCGGAGATATTGCTGAGAGGCGATTCGTTATGATAATGCTTCCCGGATGCATTACAAATAGGCCCGTGTAGCTTTCCAGTCCGCGACGCGAATTTCATATTCGCAGCCATCTGCTTCCAATGCAGGCTGCAATTGTTTCTGGCTGAACATGTTTCCTCACGTTGAAACTTGCGCTGGTCGGCTTCAATGATGAGTGGACATTTCGTGCTCCGATCAGTGACTTCATTGTCCTGATGGACATCAAATCTTTTTTGTTTGACGTACTGTTTAGTTCAGCAATGAAGACTTTCCTCACAGTTGTTTTTATCTCTGTCCATGGTTCGTCCAAAGCCATTACTCCTGAATGAGCGGATTCGTTGTTGGTCAGACGGAAATAGTGTTTTCTGTTAATGTTTGATCTTCTTCTTTGATGTTCATGTCGGCAACGTCAATCAGGCTCTCTGACCAGATTCTGCAGCGATTATATAAATGGGTCTTCAAGTGAGGTCGCAGGGACCGTGATCCGTGTCGTTTCTTTTCTCGGTTCCCCCATCGTGATACACTCTGCGATCCTCAATCGGAGAAGATCGTAATNCATAGCAACACATACATCGTGGGGATTCTTAGGTATGATACAACCGATTTATTTGTGTAGATTAACGCACTTGACAAATGTGTTACCCGGCAGTGTTGGTCAAGATTAATGTTTTCTAGCCCGTGCCGAGAGGATTCATTTAGAGGTCTTGTGCGAACATTCCAGCTGTCCTGCGCCAAACAGAATGTTACGTCTTCGGGTTACTTTTGAAGTAGGTTTGTATCATGTCACGTTGAGAAAGTGTCTTGATGCATATGAACTTCGTTACTTGTGAATTAGTTTTAGAAAAACTACAAAGCTTTCAGAACCACCTGACCACCTTCGCGGTTGTTTACACTCATCAGATATGTGTATCTGGTAGCCTTCCATCTTGTAGGTAACACGGATGTGTATTTCCACTGCAGTTTCAATGTTTCTACCTTGGGATTATTTGCACTTTCATTTTTGCCGGGCTGGTTGGTTCCCCTTTACGGTGCTATGTCGTTGTGTAGATCTTTGAAGCTAAATGCTAGTCATAGAGCAAAGTTTTAAGTGGTTTGTAATTACCACTAGTAGAAAATTTCAATTGTTTTCAATATCTGTGGATTTGCGGTAATATGGAGGGTTTCGCCTAAAGTTCTTCCCTCCTTAACTTCCGATGCAACGTGAGTTTTTCTTATTACATTCCACCTCGCCAATACTTTTGTGGATGGCAGCGAATTAGGGCACAGCATCATGTGTGTTTGATGGCGATGGTACTCCTGGTCAGGATTATTCTTTTAATGGTTTTACGAAGTGTCGGATTTATACAGTCAGTCCAAAATAGATAAATCTTTCTTTTTTGACATCCAATAATGATGATTCAGCCATAAAGATTGATAGGTTGCTATTAGTCTTTTTATCTTTTTATTTTACTTTCTTTTATTTACTACACAATGGTACCTGTTGTAGGAAGAGAGAAACGGCCAATCAAAGTGCTACTGAGCAACACACAGAAAATGACCAAAGCCGAGTCATTGATAGGTTGATAGGTTAATGAGAAAAATACGTGATGTGTTCGTTGATTGTTCTCTTTAGTACGTGTCCGTCATCACTGAAGTATCTCACGCCTCCGAAAAGCGCGTTGAACTGATTACCCTTCTTGCCGCTTTCCGTACTCTTTTCGATGATACAATAACAAAAATATGCTGGTTTCTTACAACTTTCCCTCGGTGTTTCAGAAAGTCAGCACCGTTTTGTACCCAGTTGCCTGTAGGTAATCGTCGCCTCGTGGTGCATAGTCTTCGTTAATTGTAAAAATTCCTACTTTAGAGTTCACAATTTACATGATCCGCATTGCTTCATACCATGTTTACTTTTTATTTAATAAATAAAACTTACTATTTATTTGTACCACTTACATCCACAGCTTTTGTTGAATCTTAAACTCACTACTGTTTCTTGTGTTTCCCTTTTCATGCTTTTTTATTCGATTCAAGATACGATCAAAATTCCGTATCCAATTGCTCATTTCGGTCCGGCGCCTTTAAATGTACGCCTATTAAGCTATCGCCTGCGACCAGGAATGGAATGGGCTCAGCCAACCTTCTTTAGCAGCATATTCCAATCCGCTCGGAGGGCAGGCCGTATCAGTGACACCAACTTGACCGCGGATGCGCAGAGTTCGATCTTACGAAAATCCAGCGATTCCGCATTCGAATTGGGTTGGAAACTGTCCAACTCAGGGCTTGCAAACAACTCACCTCCGGATCCATCTTCCTATACAGCACCACAAGTTGCCAAGGACAGTACGGTGAAAGATCTCTCACCTTACTTGTTGTTTCACATTCACGGTGGTGGATTTGTGGCTTTGAATTCTCAAGCGCAGGATGTGAGTTTCTCACTTTAATGTGACTATACGAAGCATCATTCACGAGTTAGAATCTATAAGGATAGTCAAATTATTCACATTAAGCAGGTTATGGTGGTTATTTTTGCACTAACCATTCCTCATCCTTCGAATTGATCTCGGTTTTCTTTGAATGTACGGGCAGCAGTGTGTCGTGTTTATTTTTGCCAACATGTTGATCTACGTTGAGCTTTTCTGCATTCGTTTCCTTTTTCATTCTTACCCATTCCACAGATTTTCCTGCGCACATGGGCTGAATTTCTAGATTGTCCCATATTTTCTGTGAACTATTCCCTTGCTCCACAAGCTCCCTATCCCAGAGCCCTGGAAGAATGCTTCTTTGCCTATTGTTGGGCTGCCCTGAATCGTGAGAAATTAGGTTGTGCACCAGACGCACGTATTGTTCTTTGTGGCGATTCCGCTGGTGGTAATTTGGTTCTCGGTCTGTGCATGCGTATCATCAGCGCGAGAATTTCGCCTCGCCCCGCAGGCGCGCTTGTTGCTTACGCGCCGACCTTGATCTCGTTCTGCCCCACCCCGGCACGAATGCTCTCGCTGGCCGACCCTTTACTGCCAATCGGGATTTTATCAAAATGTCTTATGGGTAAGCGAGATTTTTATCTCCCTCTTCGTTCACCACCATTACTGGAGGTGGATCTCCGGTTGTGATTCTCTTTGTTTCCTTTCTGATTGACGCAGGTTTACAAACATCAAATGGCTGCATTTTCATGTATAACTTGTTAACCAATGCGGTTTCTATAGGAAACCAAAGTCTTAACTCATTGACTCTTACGTTTTTAATCCATGACAAGATCCAAAGCATGCTTCTGACGTGCTCCATATTAGGGTTCAAAGGCAATCCTACCAACAGGGCAAAGATCCCGAAATGTGCTATTGAGACTATTCCTGTCCGATAAATGTATTTCTCTGTTTCGTGATTAGTAAGTGTATGAACAAATGCAAGGATTTTGCGAATCACAATTTTTGTCCAATATTTTTGCAAAGCATACACGTTTTCACCTGATCAAGAAATTTATGCTCATTGTAAGGGCTGTTTACTAGGTAAAATGCCTCCTAGTTGAGGTCTGTTTTTAAACTGATTGGGCGATTTAGCAATAAATCGTTAAACGTTTCAAAGGGAACATATATCTGAATGATGTTTCTGGTGTTCTTTCGACAAATCAGCGACCGTCCGTCGCGCAGCATCTGGTTTTCTCTTAGGGGACGGTTGTATAGCGTACCAGTTAGAAATGGCTGAGGCTGCTAGATTTAACCCTGCTGCGTTGTAGCTGTTCAACGGATTCCTTTATTTGATCATCATTGTGTGCAAGGATTTAACTCAGTCTAGCGGCAGCGTCGTATGAACAACGATCAGGTCTGATAACCGGTATTGGGTATCGATTACTGTTTTTTAACCAGAATGAGTAAGCTGCAACGCTTTTGGCTTCCCTCGACCCGTTACGCGTCCTTGTTCTGTACGTTCGTCTTACACCAAATAGCCTTATTGAAAATGCCACCTCTTCCGAAAGTGAAATGTTTCTAATCCAATCTACAAGTTCCTCAAGCAGCTGATTATTCAAACCGAGTTACACAGACCATCAAGGTTTACCAACTTGTTATACGGTTGCATTTAGTGCGCAGAATGCTTGTACCTCACTCTCGTTTTTCTGTGCTCTTTTAACAGAGGACGTACCTAAGAAAATGGAATCTGATCTACTTATATCTTTTCCTATCAGTGTATTATGCTCACCTACGTACATAAACTTTGATCATGGGTAATGTGCTAAAGCGGTGTGAAGTGTTTGCAGCGTAATTCATAAACACCAAAGGCAAACTTCACACCATAGCATGTCAGTTAAACAAAATGGGTCAGACGTATTCGCGAGTATCGTTAACAATGCTCCGTGATATGTCACCGAGCTACGTTCATACATTCGTTCATACATACGTATATGCATACATACGCTCATTTAGCCTCTGAAAGCCTCACTATAGTCTGGGGTGGCTGTCTAGGGCTGCGGCTGGTCATCCCTCCCTTACTGCTCGCGAACTGCTCCCATACGACCAAGCGCCCCATATAGCCTCTGCTGTNCTGTAGAAGCCCTACTCACTGCCTTCTCATGGTATTTTCTCACCAAAGTGAGAGGACGAAAAGCCTCTATACAACCGGCTAGATGTGAGATTTCCGACAACTTCACTTTCAAATTTCGTCAATTCGATGAGATAATAGCCTTCAATTCCGGAGTAAAACTGTGAACTTTTATTATCATTTCTCATTTCATTTATCGCTTTTCCAATAGAACTCATAGGGTTCAAACCAAGACGGTACGGGAGAGTGAGTGATGAAATAAACTCATTTTTACTGATAAGATCTATGGTGGGGTTGTCTTGCTGGTCAAGCCTGCACACCCACTGACGTTCCACAGGTCAAAGGAAGAAGGAATTTCAACTTATGGCATGTGGGTCACCGTGATTTTCCTGTGATTTCCTGTGATTTTCCCTCTCAAAAATAATTACCCAGCCTATCACCAAACCACTGGCAAGAGCTCGGAGGCTAAATTTCAACATGCTCTTCCTGATGTGATACCATAAATAGGTCAGCTCGCCAGGGTCGTTCAACTAGAATATCTTCATCACTAAATATCACGTTATTGCATTTAGTATTCCATCTATTATGTTTCCTCATCCACTTGACATGACGTTCCATATGATATGTACTCTCCCGAGGTACTTCGCTGGATTCAGTTGCCCCGTTTGGAAAGCAAATATTCAATTGCGTCAACCTATGCAACTTTGAATCACTTGTCAAGTACCCCATGGAAAGCGTTTGAGGGTTTTCTGATGAGACAGCTCTGTGCAAATGAAAGGATTCTTGGGTGTTATCCACAACTTGAGGTCTAGTATCCTCGGGGAATGACAGGAATTCGAGACAGATTATTTGAAATCCTATACTATATATGCTCGAGCAATATTTTTCGATCCCGAACTGTAAAGGTCGTGTGATTACCCAAGTTCCCTTTCTCATCGTTGAGCATATTATCCGGTGTAAATCGGTTTTCCTAAATAAAATTCCCTATCTGTATGTGACTGAAAATACGTAAGCACACAAAACTTCATCCTTGGCTTAGACACCCGAAGAAACCAGAAAATTGCAGGACGCAGTACAACAGAGCGTACGCCTTATATGATGATGAAAAAGCCCAACCCCCAAGGCATAAAATCTGTGCTATGTTTATCACTCTTATGATAAGGTACAATCCCCCGGACCGCCTTGGTAAAGTAATTAAGGCCATCATTATGCATTCGTCCTCGCCAACTCCAAACTGCGTGATCCTTTTGTAGTTTGTTACCCATTGCAGTTTTAAGTTGGTATTTGGCTAGCTGCCTGTCTTATTAACATACTCTACCAGAAACGGGACGGGGCGGTAGGGGGGAAGGGGAACGAAGAGCTATAACTGAAGTGGAGTAGCGATGAATAACTCGCGTTTGCGTGGATTTTGAAGCGGCTATTGTCAAAGACATAAGATCATTGTTCTGATTTTAATCATCATATGTATGTGTTTCGACGATCGAGGTATTGATCAACCTAATTGATGTCTGCTCATTTGACTGTATTTTTGTGACTACGATTGTGTGAGTTGTTTATTCACATCCTATCAGTTTTCAAGGTCATTTGTTGTTCACGAAGGACGCTGTCCGTATCTGTGTCCTTGTGTTATTTTCTCTGATACGTCTTATTTTTGCTTGTTATTTATTTCCCTTTTCCGAATCTTGATTTACCCACTATTTCATAATATTGACAATGCTGTTGTATGCACAGACTGAGTAAATTCAGATCTACTGAGTCATTGAGCCATGCCAGTCGACACGAAAATAAGCGGGATTAGCACACGTGTGGTATCTCTGTTCTGTGCTATACTGGCCGGTTTGATCTGCCGCCGGTACGTGGCTGTGCATCCGAAATTGTGATAAAGTAGTGTCATGGGCAGTGTCGTTCTCATATTTGTTCTTATCTATCGGGGTTTTCAGTTCTAAAACCTTGCACAGTATTTTGTTGTTACTCTTTAAGGTCTCCCAACTCGGTTAGCCATGTGTTAGCAATGGAACCCGAAATCTTGATGCTGGTCGACCTGAACGAGATTAGTCACGTTGCGGATACATTGAAGTGCTTATTCTCTCACAGATCAGACGCACACAAGACTGGCCAGTTTTATGTTTCAATGAGTGAGATTTAGAGTAATTGTTCCTGTCATTTTCCGGTTCTGAGTGTAATGATGATCTTTGGCCGACAAACCACTTTGGCGAAGGAAAACTTCCACCTAATAAAGGCGTGATAATTGCATCACAGAACATCAGGACACTCACTGTAGCCGTGTATACGCTTTCGATGTTTCTAGTCTCAAGCTTGTTTCACCACATTCGTACGAAGCAAAATGAGGTAGTCTCAAGCAGAGTTTATTCCATTTGTTTCATTTCAGGCGAATTTTCTTGCATACAGAATGAAAATCAAGAGGCCAACATCCTGCAATAAGTATCAATGACTTCCTCATATTCTCTCAAATCTACCGATGAATGTCGGGATCAACCACTGATGTTTTATCCAGCCGCCACGCATACTTTTACGGCACAGTATACAAATATTTAAGTGTTAGATCTGCTTAAAAGCGATCGGTACACAGAAGCATTATATTTTTCCGCTTCAAGCGAGATATTCGTACACTCAACGGGCTTCAGGTCGACGTTATTGGTGGTGTTTGATAATATGATAAATGAGGATAGTAATTTCGTGATGTTCAAAAATAGGTTTGCGTTGTTCTTAACGGAATGTGGGTATTGATTTTGATTAGCAAAATAGGCGGTAATGGTGACAAACAAGTAGTCAGTCAAAAGGGACTGGACGTTTTGACCCATGACCCAGGAAGAGGGCAGATGTCAGGCCAGAAAAGATTAATATAGAAAAAGCAGTTGAATACCTGTAGGTGATGACTACTTGTATCTGGATATCGTTTTATTTCGGATAAAGAACAAAATCGCTGTCTCTGGTCAGATGGTGAATATTAGTGAGAATAGTTTATAGGAGAGAGGGTCTTGTGTAGAAACGAGTTATGACCAACCATCCAGAAAGACTAGGCAGAGTAGGGATCCTCCGAATTGGTGTCCGAAACAACTTGTAAATGGTTGGTTAGAAATATTGTAGAACATGGCATCTAACCGACAGCAGTGGTGTTCTTGTCGTCAACTGTTATCAGGTCAAAATGTTTGATAATATACGTGACCAATCAGATTTTGTATTCTGTGTTTTGACTATATAGGTTCACTTTCTTCTACCCCTCTAGAATCAAACCTACTTGCTGTGCAACTTGTATATTCCAAATCACTCTCCACATGGTGTGAGCTTTGCAGTGGTCAGTATCTGTATGTCGTTGTACTATAATAATGACGTGGAGCAGTGAGAGGTTTACCGGGGCGATTCTGACAAATTTGGGCCGCGGATTGTATTTCGGGGGATGTATTTTTTGACCTGGTTCGTGAATTGATATCTCTCGTCTCCAGCTACGCGTTTTTACAAGCGTTGGGGTTACCTAGCAATATCACACGCTTGAG